CAGCCATTAAGGTGGAATTTCTTTTTTGTATACTTTTTATTACCTTTCAGCTTTATTTGACAGCACAGTAGAGAGAGGAAGACAGGAAAGTGCGGAGAAGAATGGGGAAAGGACCTGCAGCAAAGGGCCATGGGCTGGATTCGAACCCATTGCTGCTGTGTCAGGGACTATAGCCCCTGTTTACGGGTCGCCTGTGCAAACTTTTGAGCTACCAGGGCATCCCAAGGTGCCATTTCTAAAGGAAAGGCTTCCTTCTTGTATGGCAGTCTCTTTGTCCATGGCAATCCAAAACACACATGACTGTTGACACCTGTGTTCCAGCAGCTTCTGATTCATCGCAGACCTGCTTTTTAGTGATTCTTGGTTGACTCTTGACCATCCTGACCAATTGTCTGTCAGCAGCAGGTGATAGCTGGTGTTTTCTTCTTGATCATAGCAGTGTCACAACTGTGCCATGTACTATATACTTCAAATTGTTTGCTCAGATAATTTTGGGATCTGTAGCAGATGTAATAGGTGGAACTGATAAAATACCCTTCAGAGACTGCTGGTTGTTATTTGTGTAATCTCTATGGCAGTGCTTTAGAGCTGATTGATTGATGAGTTGTCCAGAAGCCCTTTCTGCTTCGGTATGCTGTCAACAAATTTAATAGGGTGAGCTTTGCATTCGTAAAATCTAGTTGTTTTTTTTTAATTTAATATAAAAATTTGAATTCTCCAGGACCTATTATGCAATTTTCCATTAGTTTGATGCCAGTAAACAAAATTGTGTAGAGCTATATTAACCGCTACAATAAGTACATATCCATGCTGTCAGCAGCTGTCTGCAGCTGTTCATGTGCCTGTCTGCAGGGAGTATAATCAAGGCATAAGTCCTTGCTTCCACACAGCTTTGCTTGGTTTTTGTAATCACGTATAATATATAGGCTATGCATCCTAGTGTTCCAGCAGGGGAACTGCATTTTTTTTGATGGATGGATTAAAAAGTTCACTGTGGCCGTTAAGGAGAGGCTAATTTTATTTTATTTTTTTTACCGTCTAATTTTATGGAGTCTGTGCATGAGGCATTACTGTGACAGAAGCAGGACCAATTGCAAGAAATTAGTGTGTAGGTTGTCCTACTTGCTGTGCAGTCAGTTTGGTGAAATATTTTGTTAAGTTGTAAGAACCACTATGCATGCACTCTGTACAAAGCCAGCCTGAGTTAAATAGCTAAACTGCTTACTTTTTGTTTCTGTTATTGATCAAATTTTTGTTTCTATTATTTATCAAATTTGACTGTTAATATAGTCAGTCAACTGAATAGCCTGTCAACTAATTTGTTTTTCCAACATTTTTGCACTTCCTAGTGTGGTCTCTGCAAAATTAACCCCAAATTTACTTGACTTAATGTACTTGAATGTTGTACTTGGAAGGTTTAGTAAATGTCTTGATTACACTTAGCTGTGAGCAACACGACAAACAACAGACTCATGGATCAAACTTGGAATCCTGACATTGCCTATCCTGAACATATATTATTATTATATATTATATAATACTTATTACATAAGTAATCAGCAGCTTGACAGCTGCAACACACACCAGAGTACTATATGGCCTATAAAAGAAGGGCAGAAGGGTGATTGCTAAGGCCTCTTATTCACTCAAGTCTTCAAGGGTCCATGCTGACTCTTCTTGAAGATGCAGATGCTGATAGAGATGACATGATTTCTTCATGTTTTGTTTTTTTAATGGATGGAATCCAAACATAGTAGAAAGTTCTAAATTATCTAGAAATCCTGTGCTATGTCTGACCACTGTGCCAGAAACACTGGTTCTACTCAGGCGGTACTACTATCCAATCTGTAAGCCGCTGCTACATCCTGTAAACAGTGAAAAGTCAAAGCTTTTCAGAAACATCTACAGATGTATTTCTGTATGAGGGTCAATGTGATAATTTGCGTAGCAGACTGATTCCTACCTGTTGTAGTATGAACAGAATTGTGTGAGTGCCCACTATTAATGTCTGCATTGGAAACTATGAATTGGCCTTCAGATGCTAAAGTCCAATGGTCCATGCTAATAGGCTTGCCATGTGACATATGAGAGGAGAAGAATATGATTAATATGTAGATATAAATAAATAGCATATATCCATCCATCCATTATCTATCCACCGCTTAATCCTCATTAGGGTCGCCGGGGGGCTGGAGCCTATCCCAGCTGCCTTAGGGCGAAGGCAGGGGACCCCCTGGACAGGTCACTTGTCTATCACAGGGCTACACTTAGAGACAAACAAGCACACTCATATGCACACCTACGGACAATTTAGAATCACCAATTAACCTCAATATGTTTTTTGGACTGTGTGGGAGGAAGCCGGAGAACCCGGAGAGAACCCACGCTGCACGGGGAGAACATGCAAACTCCACGAAGAAAGATCCCCTCTTCTTGCTGCCAGGCAACAGTGCTACCAACTGCGTCACCTTGCAGCCCAATAGCATGTATGTGTTTTTTATATTTACACACACCCATTAATTTTAAGAAAAGTTTTTTTTATTTCATCTGCCACTGTGTCATGTGCTTGCATGCTTGTGTGTGTGCATGCATGTGAACAAAAGTTTTCATACACTTGTAAAGACCATGTAAATATTTGGCATTCTTGAGTTTCTAAGAACTTCTGAATTTTCTATGTTGAAATGACTGAATCCCATGTATTTTTATCACAAAAAACAATCATGAATTTGAGTTTTTTCATAAATTTATTATATGCTTTCAGTAAATATGATAAAATCTGCTGGGTCAAAAACGTACGTACAGCAAGCAGAATTATCAGCTTTGGTGATGTAGAAGACTGTGCTAATCAGATTGTTTTAGTGTCATAGCCACTTAACTTTTTGTGAGTGATTATGGTTGACTACAGCTGTTTACTCCTCTGAGACAATTTAAATAGGGCCCATTTGATCTACCCACTAGATTTAACCACAAACACGACTATGGGAGTGTCTGAGGAGCTCAGCAAAGATCAGAAAAAGCAAATCATTGACTTGAACAAGTCAAGTAAGTCACTTGGAGCCATTTCATAGCAGCTACAGATCCCCAAATCAACTGTGCAAACAGTATATGACACGGTAGTGTCACTAGGACGACATGGATCTTACATTGCCACAAACTGATAGGATTACCTTCATGTTCTTCAGGAGAGCTTACAATCATCAGCCAGAAGGTTGAATGTTGGATGCAGTTGGATGTTCCAACAAGACAATGACCCCAAACACACATTAACAGTAGTACAAAAAATTAAAAAAAAAAAAAAAAGACTGAATCACGTTAGAAGTACAGTGTTAGACTGGCCTTCGCAAAGTCCTGACCTAAACCCAATCTAAAAGCTTCGGACTGTGCTGAAGAAAGAGGTTTGTGTCAGAAAGCCAACACATTTAACTGAACTGTGCTAATTCTTTTTAAAGCAGTGGCCAAAGATACAATCAGAAGCTCGTAGATGGCTATCAAAAGCCTAGTTGAGGTGAAAATGGTCAAGGGACCAAATATTAATGTTACTGTACATATATTTTTGGCCTGGCAGATTTGGTCATATTTCCAGAAGCTCTGTAATAAATCTGGGAAAGAACCAAAATTCCTGACTGTTTTTGTGTCTATGACACATGTTTCAAAGTTTCCATCGTAGAAAATTCAGTTGTAGGAGTCACTGGAAACTGAAGAGGGCCATGATGTGCCTGTGTGTACTAGTGTATGTAAAGCTTTGTTCACCACTGTAAATATCCCAAAGCAGTGCAAGATGCCGGAGAGCCTCACTGCCTTACATTTTACTAGATTCAGTATTACTCATTGCCTTCATGTTGTGTTTTCTTTCACACAAACAATGACACTGCCACCATACCTTGGTAAAGAAGAGGAACAAATCGCAGCATAGAAGTTCACCAGCATGTCACTTGGTGCACGACTGCAGTACAAGGACCTAACACTGGTGCGCGCACTGCAGCTTCTGTCCCTCTGACTTCCATCAGCTCTGCACTGTAACCGCATCAGCACAGTCAAGTTTGCAAAGCTGCACACAGACCGGAAAAACCGCTGCCACGCCTTCAAAATATATGACCTAATGATTAACCACTGCACAAGACTGTTTCTTCCCCTCTTTTCTGCGTAGACAACGCTATCCAGAGCAGAAAAATAAAATAACTGAAGTATAAATTGAAAAGGAAATTTAAAGTAACAAATGCTCCTTGCAAACAGTACCCTCAGCATCTTTGGGTTTTTAACTGCTGCTTTAAACAAGATCACTGAAGACATCACCTTGGTGTATGAAGAATGACAAAGGGCATATTTCACTGTAGTCTGGCATTCTGTAATTACAACAATTGAATTGGCAGAAAATAAAGTTGTGGTTAGTTCCAAACTCAAGATTACTTCCATTAGGCTGAATCAGTCAAATGTACCCCAAAATGTCTAGATAAAGATCCAAATAGTACACGACAAACATTTTTTAGTTCTCACACATTTATTTTAAATAAATAAATAAATAAATAAATAAACTCAGGTCACAGTCATTTCTCATTGTTTGTAGTGTTTTTATAATAATAATAATAATAATAATAATAATAATAATGACAAAAATTTGGCATTGAGATAAAGTAATCCTTTATAGATCTAGCAGCAAGGACATTTGCAGTTTTAAAACAGGGAAATGGATAGTGCAAAGAGTTAAAAAAAAAAAAAAAAGAAGAAAGAAATATACACAAGTATACAACATAATAATACACAACAGAGCACCAGGTTTTGGTTGCACATATGGTGCATAGGAGATTGATATTGCACAGATAATAAAAATAATAGCAACAATAATAATTGCATGCAGCCTGCCACAGTCCGATGCAGGTCACTGACCAACACTTCATTCATACTACCAACATCACATTTGAAGTGTGTATCATAGCCCATGCAAACTATTACTTTGAAGCTCAGTGAGGATGTGAACTCTCTCCTCAGTGCTGCACATTGACACCCAGCAGATCCCACCATAGACTGATCCCCACAGAGCCGCTCGGACGGCCGGATTCCCACTCACAGCTCCAGGATCCCCTCAGTTCCTGCTTCCGCTGCAGCCTTTCTCCTCCGTCTTGTGGAGCCTCAGAGCCCGGCTAGCGCTGTGGCAAAACCAGCCTCCGCAGCCCCGCTCGGATGCCTCTGGAAGCCGCTGTATCACGTCAAGGTAGGTGATAAGAAGCCTTCCTGCATGGCGGAAACGTAGAGGCGCGGAGCAGCCCGCAGATCGCCCGCTCCATCCCGGCCTGTTGACTGCGTCGCTGATGAGATCACGGCGAGCAAATAGCGGTCACGGTAGGAAGGAATATCTGGTCCCGTTATATCGGCGCCGTTACTCGGATTTTTTCTTCACATGGATGTTTCCTTCATTCTGAGGTACGTTGCAGCCTCAATAACGGCCGCACGTCCTCCTTTGTTGCTAATTCACGTTCAGGGAAAGCGAGCGTGAATGTTCGGAACAAGCTGGTATCCGCGTAGCGACCCGGTAGCTGCATGAAGCCTCGTTAAGACGGCAGAATTACCGGGACCGAGGATGAGCGGGCACCGGAGCGGTTTGCTGACTAAACGGGGCTAGAAACGTGTAGCCTACATGCTAGCTGTGTGTCGATGTGCGTTTGTTGTCGGTTTGTCGTGGCCGTATATGAGCGTACCGTTAAATGGACTCGACCTCCAGCCTCGCACCGAAAATAAACACTCACGACATTGTGATGCTTTGACAAGTGTGTGTTTGATCCAGTGTCGTTTTCCTCATTGTGTGTCTTTTGGTGTGTGGCGGCCAGGCAGAACAGCTGCCTGCTTTTCAGCCTCAGTGCACTGCTGCTATTATCAGGAATCATGGCTTTGTAATAATCACCACAGCCAGGCGTGAGTTTGTTTTCAGTATCTGGAGGTGTGGTTGGTGTGTAACAAGGCCTCTGATCTGAGATTATGGAATAAAACGGCTTAGCGAAGTCCACACTTCATCTTCATCATCACATCAGGACAATCAGAGGAGCTGGGAGGGGGTTTCTCTCTCTCTCTCTCTCTCTCTCTCTCTCTCTCTCTCTCTCTCTCTCTCTTTCTGTGTGTGTGTGTGTCCGTCCCTCACACACACACACACACAGGCTTTACCAAACTGATGCTAAAATCTGTGACATCGCCTTCCTCCACAGAGAATGTGTGGGAGGTCACAGGTTCAATTCCCAGAATGAGCAGTCATTAGAGGACGTGTGTGTGCCTGTGGTGTAAAAGTACCACAAAGTAGGTTGTGATAAAAGTACAAAAATACCACAAACTCACAGTATGAAGATGGGGACGTTACAGCCATGGTCTAAGAACTGAGGCAAAATGAAAGCAAGATTTACTCACACCTACTTATTTCCATTGAGTCTGTCATATGAAGTAAGTGAGTGCTTTCTAATGAAGTCCATGTGTGACATAGATGCAGTGTGGCTTTTTTTTTGTGTGCATACTTTTATTATTCCATATCACTTGATGTATGCAGCCATCTTACAAGACATGAGTCAACTCTTTTTTTTTTCTTTGATGGCATCTTGTCTGACAATAAATGATCAGCTCATAGTGTTGTATACTGCCACAATGATCCTTGAGTTTTGATCCAGTTTTAACCAGTGTCCATTGTGCTCTCATTTGAATTGTAGTTGCTGAAAATAGTAAGAACATTTAATGAGATATTTCACAAGTCTGACAACTAAATCGTTACCAAACAATTTCTTCACCAGTGTGTTTGTAAAGTTGTGTAATAACATGCCTTAAAATGTAAAAAAAACTGCTCAAGTTCGGGTACCGATAAACGATTTTTGAAAAATCGATTTTTAGTAAAATCGGCCTTAAGTAACTTATGAGGGGTCAGATCAGGGTTTCTTCATGATACTGAGTTGATTGTTAGCATTTATATTTCACCACCAACACTCCATTGTTGAAAAAGGCCACACTCACTTTTACATTTACATTCACAGTAGCTTTCATTTCACATACTTATATAATACTCAGAATTATTTCTCATTCACAATGTCAGAAGCTTCAACAGTCATTGTCTATGTCTTCTTCAGACTCAACAACATCATGACTGCAGTTTCTACATGTAATGCCTTTACAGACTCCACAGGTGGAGATGATCGTGACCCCATTCTTCTTGCAGCTGCACCGCCGGTTGCTGCAATCTCTATGACAATTACAGCTCGTCAACTTCAGTAGCTCCTCAGGAGCCATGGGGTCTAGTGTTGGAACTGGCTCATACCCATGCACGCCTAATGTCCATCCATAGTCACTGGGGTTCAGAGACATGCTCTGTAGAAGATCCAGTCCTGGTCTGCAGGTAGGCACAGAGTGAATGCTGTGCAGCTGCACCCTCTGATAGAGGTAGAGTCTCTGGTTTAATCACTCCTGCCGTCGCCTTCTTTGAGAACCTGTTGTACCAAATTTGAAACAGAAATACAATTATTATTATAATTATTATTTAAAATATTTTTACTATGATGACAATAATGATGATGGTGATGATGACTATTATTATTTGTCAAAGTAACAGCAGTATTATCATTATTACCTGTCAAACAGAGTTGTTTTCTCATGGCCAGCAATTGCAGAAACCGTGAGAGATTCTTCTTAACCACATCAAACGGCTCTTATGACATCTGAAAGATCCAAGAATCTCTCTCTGAAAGACAGAAGGGCTACCTGCTCTTCTGTCACGCCTTCACAGGGTGTGATACGGTTTCTGCAATTGCTGGCCATGGGAACACAACTCTACTTGACAGGTAGTAATGATAACACTGCTATTACTTCGACAAATAATAATAATAATCATCATCATTATTGTCATCATAGTAAAAATTAGGGCTGGTCCGAATAGCATTTTCTGTTCTCTGGATATCCGGCCCAATTAATGACGAATATCCTGAATAGTTGGGAGGGGGTGGCGGGTGAGTATTCGTTCCAAGGGGGGGTGCTGAGCATTTGGTCTGACGGGGCAAGAGTGAGCAGGCGTTTCTGCCATCAGCGGTCACAGTACTGTTGCGTCACCGCCACTGACGGCGGAGGCGACGGTGAGGGGAGGGATATTCGGAGATCAAAATTGATATCCCAATTCCAGCACAGCGAACGAATCGTCGGCTATTCAGCTATTCGGGTCCAGCCCTAGTAAAAATGTTAAAATAATAACAATGAATGTATTTCTGTTTCACATTATACTTGACACAAACCGAGCGCATTTTTTCAGGTTTTGTGCGGGGGACGTGGATGAGTGCATGGACATCTTCCTTAACACAGAAGCTACCAAGGAGGCAGTGATTCAGGCTGGTACTGGGATTTTCCAGTACATTTACCATGGATCAGATACTCTACCTCTATCAGAGGGTGCAGCTGCCCAGCATTCACTCTGTGCCTACCTGCAGACCAGGACTGGATCCTTCTACAAAGCATGTCTCTGAACCCCAGTGACTATGGATGGACATTAGGTGTGCATGGGTATGAGCCAGTTCCAACACTAGACCCCATGGCTCCTGAGGAGCTACTGAAGTTGACGAGCTGTAATTGTCATAGAGATTGCAGCAACCGGCGGTGCAGCTGCAAGAAGAATGGGGTCACGAGCATCTCCACCTGTGGAGTCTGTAAAGGCATTACATGTAGAAACTGCAGTCATGATGTTGTTGAGTCTGAAGAAGACATAGACAATGACTCTTGAAGCTTCTGACATTGTGAATGAGAAATAACTCTGAGTGTTACATAAGTATGTGAAATAAAAGCTACTGTGAATGTAAATGTAAATATGAGTGTGATCTTTTTCAACAATGGAGTGTTGGTGGTGAAATATAAATGCTAACAATCAACCCAGAATCATGACAAAACCCTGATTTGACCCCTCATAAGTTACTTAAGGCCAATTTTTTTTTTTAAAAAATGATTTTTTGACAATCATTTATCAGTACCCAAACTTGAGCAGTTTTTTTCAGAGTTTCCCATGGGAGTTTAACTTCAACATTTTAAAACATGTTATTACACACCTTTACAAACATATTGGTGAAGAAATTGTTTGGTAACAATTTAGTTGGCAGATATTCATATGTTTCCCTAAACTCAGCACCTACAGACAACTAATGCATCATTAATGTTATCTAATGAACTTAGCCTTAGTAACTGGGAGCAGATTGATTTAGTATCCCTAATCTATTCATGAATAAGCAAAGAGCTGTATATATTGCGGTCACAGCATTCTATACCATTAAGGACTAACTCTGTCTTGGATTCCAGTGGCTGCGACTGTAATGCTTTAGATAGACGCCTGCTTAAATCTCATCTGCTTTAAACTGTCAGGGGCCAGTTATTTTACATAAAGCAAAGTGACTCATGCTTTGGCAACCATTTGCTTTGATCAGGGCTTCACCATTTTTGGATTGAATAGGCATAGCCATGGGTGGACCCATTTATATCAGCCAAGTGCAAATAATTTAATTAGAGTAGTTCATTCAAGGCTGAATAATTTTTTATGAAGCACTTGAGTCAAATAGTGGCAGTCAAAGTAACCCTTGCAGTTTACTTGGCAGGTCTGAGGTTTGTGCAGAATGCTACCGACACTGCGGGTTGTGTCGTTTAGTCATCTCTACGTTGATTGCCTTGGACAGATATCAAATTTGTTACCTTGTAGATACTGAAATGCATCATATTTCATCTGTATTAGTACAGAACATGTTTTGTAGATAAATACCCACCCCCCCTCACTTAAGCTGACCTGTCCTCTCTCTTTCCACTTCTTTTATTTCCCTGCCCTTTGTGCTGCCACCTTCCATGCCTCACATCACTGTCTGTCTTCAGTTTTGACTAATGAGTTCATTAAACATAGTTTTGCTCAGCCATCGAGGTTAGATGGGTTGCAGAACAAAAATGGGCGGTGACACATTGCATAGTTTTAACTGTATTTAGCATGTATGCAGTAGTCACGTGGCAAACACCATTTGTCTGTTTGGTTTAGTGCAGCAAACCACTGCCAAGTGGAGTTTTATTTAAAGTAGCAGTTGGATTTGTTTTTCATTACAATTTTGTCTGTAATACCAGCCTGTCACCTGCACAGCAAGCGCCTCTGTTTGCATGAAAAGCCATTCTAATTTCAAGCATCACAGTGTTTTGGCTCAGTGTACAGTGTGTGTATAATGCTTGATATTGGCTTCA